CCCCAATTTCCCCCTATAAAAATCTCATTTTTCCCCTACTAAAATCCCAATTTTCCCCTATTTCCCCCCCAATTTCCCCCTCTAAAAATCCCATTTTTCCCCTCTAAAATTCCCATATTTTCCCCATTTTTCCCCTATAAAACCCCCATTTTCCCCCCAATTTCCCCTCTAAACCCCATTTTCCCCCTTTCCCGCTGCGCAGGCCCCCGCCGCTGTGCGGGGCGGTGCCGGCCGCGGGCGATTACGTGGCCAAGCCCGGGGACAAGGTGGCGGCGCGGGTGAAGGCGCTGGAGGGGGACGAGCAGTGGATCCTGGCCGAGGTGGTCAGCTACAGCCACGCCGCCAACAAGTCAGTGACGCACCCAAAATTCCAGATTATCCACCCAAAATTCCAGATTATCCACCCAAAATTCCAGATTATCCACCCAAAATTCCAGTTTATCCACCCAAAATTTGATTTTATCCACCCAAAATTCCAGATTATCCACCCAAAATTCCAGTTTATACACCCAAAATTCCAGCTAAAATTCCAGATTATCCACCCAAAATTCCAGCTTATCCACACAAAATTGCAGCTTATACACCCAAAATTCCAGCTTATCCAAACAAAATTCCAGCTTATCCACCCAAAATTCCAGCTTATACACCCAAAATTCCAGCTTATCCACGCAAAATTCCAGCTTATCCACACAAAATTCCAGTTTATCCACCCAAAATTCCAGATTATCCACCCAAAATTCCAGATTATCCACCCAAAATTCCAGCTTATCCACCCAAAATTTGATTTTATCCACCCAAAATTTGATTTTATCCACCCAAAATTTGATTTTATCCACCCAAAATTCCAGCTTATACACCCAAAATTCCAGCTTATCCACCCAAAATTCCAGCTTATACACCCAAAATTCCAGATTATCCACCCAAAATTCCAGCTTATCCACACAAAATTTGATTTTATCCACCCAAAATTCCATCTTATCCACCCAAAATTCCAGCTTATCCACACAAAATTGCAGCTTATACACACAAAATTCCAGCTTATACACCCAAAATTTGATTTTATCCACACAAAATTCCAGCTTATCCACACAAAATTCCAGCTTATCCACACAAAATTCCAGCTTACCCACCCAAAATTCCAGCTAAAATTCCAGCTTTTCCACCCAAAATTCCAGCTTATCCACCCAAAATTCCAGCTTATCCACCCAAAATTCCAGCTAAAATTCCAGCTTATCCACCCAAAATTCCAGCTAAAATTCCAGTTTATCCACCCAAAATTCCAGCTTATCCACCCAAAATTCCAGCTTATCCACCCAAAATTCCAGCTTATCCACACAAAATTTGATTTTATCCACCCAAAATTCCAGCTTATCCACCCAAAATTGCAGCTTATCCACCCAAAATTCCAGCTTATCCACCCAAAATTCCAGCTAAAATTCCAGCTTATCCACACAAAATTCCAGCTTATCCACACAAAATTGCAGCTTATCCACCCAAAATTGCAGATTATCCACACAAAATTCCAGCTTATCCACACAAAATTCCAGCTTATCCACCCAAAATTCGATTTTATGGGCCCAAAATTCGATTATTTGGGCCCAAAATTTGATTGTATGGGCCCAAAATTCGATTTTATCCACCCAAAATTCGATTTTATGGGCCCAAAATTCGATTTTATCCACCCAAAATTCGATTTTATCCACCCAAAATTCGATTATTTGGGCCCAAAATTTGATTGTATGGGCCCACAATTCGATTTTATCCACTCAAAATTTGACTTTATGGACCCAAAATTCGATTTTATCGACCCAAAATTCGATTTTATCGACCCAAAATTCGATCTTACCCACCCAAAATTCGATTTTATCCACCCAAAATTCTATCTTATCCACCCAAAATTCGATTTTATCCACCCAAAATTCGATTTTATGGGACCAAAATTCAATTATTTCGTCACAAAATTCGATTTTATTGACCCAAAATTCGATTTTTTGGACCCAAAATTCAATTATTTGGGCCCAAAATTCGATTTTATCGGCCCAAAATTCGATTTTATGCACCCAAAATTCAATTTTATGGGCCCAAAATTTGAATTTTCAGGACCAAAATTTGATTTTATAGGCACAACATTCGATTTTTTGGGATTAAAATTTGATTTTTTGGACCCAAAGTTGGATTTTATAGACACGAAATTAGATTTTTTGGGATTAAAATTTGATTTTATTGGCACAAAATTTGATTTTTTGAGATTAAAATTTGATTTTATGGACCCCAAATTTGATTTTATCGGCCCAAAATTTAATTTCTTTGGGATTAAACTTGGATTTTTTGGGCCCAAAATTTGATTTTTTGGGCCCAAAATTCGATTTTATAGGCACGAAATTGGATTTTTTAGGACCAAAATCTGATTTTGTAGACATAAAATTGGATTTTATAGGAACAAAATTTGATTTTTTGGACCCAAAATTTGATTTTATGGACCCAAAGTTGGATTTTATAGGCATAAAATTTGATTTTTTTGTGATTAAAATTTGATTTTATAGCCACAAAATTTGATTTTATGGATCCAAAATGGGATTTTTTTAGACACAAAATTGGATTTTTTGCACCCAAAATTTGATTTTTAACATTTGATTTTTTGGGACCAAAATTTGCTTTTATAGACCCAAATCTCACTTTTTTATACCCAAAATTCCATTTTGTAGACCCAACATTTCATTTTTTTGGGCTCAAAATTTGCTTTATTTGGCCCAAAATTCCCTTTTTTCTTCCTGAAATTCGCTTTATTGGGGCAAAATCTGCTTCATTTGGCTCCAAATTCACATTTTTGGGTCTAAAATTCGCTTTATTGTGGTCAAAATTCCCTTTTTTTGGGACCAAAAATCACTTTTTTAGACCCAAAATTTTCAGGCCAAAATTCGATTTTTTGGGGGCGCAAAATCCGGTTTTGGGCTTAAAATTCGCATTTTTGGGTCTAAAATTCGCTTTATGTGGCTCAAAATTCTCTTTTTTTGGGACTGAAAATTCCCTTTTTTTTTTGGGTCCGGAATTTGTAATTTTTGGGTGGAAAATTCCATTTTTTGGGCTTAAAAATTCCGATTTTTTTGAGCCGAAAATTCCCTTTTTTCCCCCAGGTACGAGGTGGACGACATTGACGAGGAAGGCAAAGAGTGAGTGATAAAAAACCCCAAAAATTTCATTTAAAATGCCCCAAAATCCCCTCAAACCACCCCAAAAAACCCCAAATACTTCCCCAAAAAATCCCATTTTTTTCTGCCAAAAATCCCGATTTTTTCACATAAAATTCCCATTTTTTTCCTATAAAAATCTCAATTTTTTCTCTATAAAAACCCCCATTTTTCCCCATAAAAAATTCAATTTTTCCCTGCCAAAACCTCAGATTTTCTCCTGTAAAAATTGTATTTTTTCCTTAATTTTCCCCATAAAATTTCCGTTAAAAAAAAAACAATTTCCCCCATAAAAATAACAATTTTTGTTATTAAAAAAACCCAATTTTCCCCATAGAGATTTCCCATAAAAATCCCTTTTTTCACCAAAAAAAATCCCAATTTTTCCCCATAAAAATCCCAATTTTCCCCCATTTCCCCTCAAATTTTCTCTAATTTTCCCACATAAAAAATCCCAATTTTTGCCCATTTCCCCCCAAATTTTCCCTAATTTTCCCCATAAACTCCCAAAATTTTCTCCAATTTTTTCCCCATAAAAATCCCAATTTCTCCAGGTTTCCCCCCAAACTTTCCCCATAAAAATCCCATTTTTCCCCCATAAAAATCCCATTTTTCCCCTTCTAAAAACACTAATTTTTTGCCATTAAAATCCCATTTTTTCACAAGAAAAAAACCCAAATTTTCTTCATAAAAACCCCAATTTTCCCCCCATAAAATCCCATTTTTCTCTCCAAAAAAAATCTCAATTTTCCCCCATAAAAACCCCCAATTTTCCCCAAAAAAATCCCAATTTTCCCCCACAAATTCCCCAATTTTTCCGCCCAAAAAATTCCCAATTATCCCCCATTTTTCCCCAAAAAAATCCAATTTTTACCCCCATTTTTCTCCCAAAAAATCCCATTTTTTTCCCCATAAAAACCCCATTTCCCCCCCGATTTTCACCAAATTTTCTGCATATTTTCCCTATAAAACCCCCAAATTTTCCCCAATTTTCCCCAAAAAACCCCCAATTTTCCTCCAATTCCCCCTAAAAGTTTCCCCAATTTTTCGCCAAAAAATCCCAAATTTCCCCAACAAATCCCCCAATTTTTCCCCAAAAAAATTCCCAATTATCCCTCATTTTTCCCTCCAAAAAATTCCACTTTTTCCCAAAAAAAATCCCAATTTTCCACCATAAAAATCCCATTTATCCCTCAAAAAAATCCCAATTTTACCCCATTAAAAAATCCCAATTTTCCCCATTTTTCCCAAAAATATCTTCAATTTTTCCTTCAAAAAATTCCCAATTATCCCCCAAAAAAATCCCATTTATCCCTCCAAAAAATCCCAATTTTACCCCATTAAAAAAATCCCATTTTTCCCCATTTTTTTCCCCAATTTTTCCCCCCAAAAATTCCCAATTATCCCCCATTTTTCCCCCAAAAAAATCCCAATTTTACCCCATTTAAAAATCCCAATTTCCCCCATTTTTCCCCACAAAAAACCCAATTTCCCCCCAAATTTTCCACGATTTTTCCCCATAAAAACCCAAATTTTTCTTACAAAACCCCCAAATTTTACCCCATAAAAATCCAAACTTTCCCCCCAAAAAATCTCAAATTTTCCCCATAAAAATCTCAATTTTCCCCATTTTTTTCCCCCATTTTTTCCCCCTAAAAAATGCAATTTCCCTCAAAAAAATCCCAATTTTTCCCTATAAAAAATCCCAATTTTTCCCCAGAAAAACTCACTATTATCCCCCATTTTTTCCCCATAAAACCCCCAATTTTCCCCATTTTTTCCCCATAAAACCCCCAATTTTCCCCCCAAAAAATCCCAAATTTTCCCCATAAAAACCCAAATTTTTCTTACAAAACCCCCAAATTTCCCACATGTTTTCCCCATAAAACCCTTAATTTTCCCACTGAAAAACCCCAAATTTTCCCAATTTTTCCCCATAAAATCCCCATTTCCCCCCATTTTTC